CTTAGTCACCTGTCTGTCTCTCCACCTGTCTGTCTCTCGGTGTCTTAGTCACCTGTCTGTCTCTCCACCTGTCTGTCTCTCGGTGCCTTAGTCACCTGTCTGTCTCTCCACCTGTCTGTCTCTCGGTGTGTTTCTCACCTGTCTGTCTCTCTGTCTGTTTCTCAGTGTGTTTCTCACCTGTCTGTCTCTCTGTCTGTCTCTCAGTGTGTTTCTCACCTGTCTGTCTCTCGGTGTGTTTCTCACCTGTCTGTCTCTCGGTGTGTTTCTCACCTGTTTCTCACCTGTCTGTCTCTCGGTGTGTTACTCACCTGTCTGTCTCTCGGTGTGTTACTCACCTGTCTGTCTCTCGGTGTTTTACTCACCTGTCTGTCTCTCGGTGTGTTTCTCACCTGTTTCTCACCTGTCTGTCTCTCGGTGTGTTTCTCACCTGTCTGTCTCTCGGTGTGTTTCTCATCTGTTTCTCACCTGTCTGTCTCTCAGTGTGTTTCTCACCTGTCTGTCTCTCAGTGTGTTTCTCACCTGTTTCTCACCTGTCTGTCTCTCGGTGTGTTTCTCACCTGTCTGTCTCTCGGTGTGTTTCTCACCTGTCTGTCTCTCAGTGTGTTTCTCACCTGTCTGTCTCTCAGTGTGTTTCTCACCTGTTTCTCACCTGTCTGTCTCTCAGTGTGTTTCTCACCTGTCTGTCTCTCAGTGTGTTTCTCACCTGTTTCTCACCTGTCTGTCTCTCGGTGTGTTTCTCACCTGTTTCTCACCTGTCTGTCTCTCGGTGTGTTTCTCACCTGTCTGTCTCTCGGTGTGTTACTCACCTGTCTGTCTCTCGGTGTGTTACTCACCTGTCTGTCTCTCGGTGTGTTTCTCACCTGTTTCTCACCTGTTTCTCACCTGTCTGTCTCTCGGTGTGTTTCTCACCTGTCTGTCTCTCGGTGTGTTTCTCACCTGTTTCTCACCTGTCTGTCTCTCGGTGTGTTTCTCACCTGTCTGTCTCTCGGTGTGTTTCTCACCTGTTTCTCACCTGTCTGTCTCTCGGTGTGTTTCTCACTTGTCTGTCTCTCGGTGTGTTACTCACCTGTCTGGCTGTAGTTTGTGTCTTCAGAGTGATTCTTTATAATCTTATTAAACAGACGACAAAACGTTGAACACCATGATCATCATCTCTTCTCTCCTGTTTTTCTTCCTCCGTCTTGTTCTCTTCTCTTCTTTTTAATCTTTTCAGATCTCCTCCTGTGTCCGGCTCTTTCTTTCATCCTCCCCCTCTGCTCTCTACTCCTGTAGATAAACCTCTCACAGCTCAACAGATTCTCTCTCTCTCTCCAGTGTAACTCCACCTCTCTCTCTCCAGTGTAACTCCACCTCTCTCTCTCTCCACTGTAACTCTACCTCTCTCTCTCTCTCTCCACTGTAACTCTACCTCTCTCTCTCTCCACTGTAACTCTACCTCTCTCTCTCTCTACTGTAATTCTACCTCTCTCTCTCTCTCTCCACTGTAACTCCACCTCTCTCTCTCTCCACTGTAACTCAACCTCTCTCGCTCTCTCTCTCTCTCTCCACTGTAACACTTCCTCTCTCTCTCTCTCCACTGTAACACTTCCTCTCTCTCTCTCTCTCTCCACTGTCAGGCAGGTAACAGACTGGTAACAGGTCGGGTAACAGGCAGGTAACAGGTCGGGTAACAGTCGGGTAACACGTCAGGCAACAGTCGGGTAACACGTCGGATAACACGTCAGGCAACAGTCGGGTAACAGGCCAGGCAACAGTCGGGTAACAGGCAACAAACTGGTAACAGGTCAGATAACAGTCAGGTAGCAGGCAACAAACTGGTAACAGGTCAGGTAACAGTCAGGTAACAAACTGGTAACAGGTCGGGTAACAGGGCAGGTAACAGTCAGGTAACAAACTGGTAACAGGTCAGATAACAGTCAGGTAACAGGCAACAAACTGGTAACAGGTCAGGTAACAGTCAGGTAACAAACTGGTAACAGGTCGGGTAACAGGGCAGGTAACAGTCAGGTAACAGGCAACAAACTGGTAACAGGCAGGTAACAGGCAGGTAACAAACTGGTAACAGGTCGGGTAACAGGGCAGGTAACAGTCAGGTAACAGGCAACAAACTGGTAACAGGCAGGTAACAGGCAGGTAACAAACTGGTAACAGGTCGGGTAACAGGGCAGGTAACAGTCAGGTCAGGTAACAGGTCAGGTAACAGGCCAGGCAACAGTCGAGTAACAGGTCAGGTAACAGTTCAGGTAGCAGGTCAGGCAACAGGTCAGGTAACAGACCAGGCAACAGTCAGGTAACAGTCAGGTAACAGGTCAGGTAACAGGTCGGGTAACAGGTCAGGTAACAGGTCAGGTCAGGCAACAGGTCGGGTAACAGGCCAGGTAACAGGTCAGGTAACAGTCAGATAACAGGTCAAGTCAGGTAACAGGCAGGTAACAGGTCAAGTCAGGTAACAGGCAGGTAACAGGTCAAGTCAGGCAACAGGCCAGGTAACAGGCCAGGCAATATGTCAGGTAACAGGTTGGGTAACAGACAGGTAACAAGTCAGGTAACAGGCCAGGTAACAGTCGAGTAACAGGTCAGGTAGCAGTCGAGTAACAGGTCAGGTAACAGTTCAGGTAGCAGGTCAGGCAACAGGTCAGGTAACAGACCAGGCAACAGTCAGGTAACAGGTCAGGTAACAGGCCAGGTAACAGTCGGGTAACAGGTCAGGTAACAGTCGGGTAACAGGTCAGGTAACAGGCCAGGTAACAGGTCAGGTCAGGCAACAGGTCAGGTAATGGGCCAGGCAACAGTCGGGTAACAGGTCAGGTAACAGTTCAGGTAGCAGGTCAGGCAACAGGTCAGGTAACGGGCCAGGCAACAGTCAGGTAACAGGTCAGGTAACAGGTCAGGCAACAGGTCAGGCAACAGGTCGGGTCAGGCAACAGGTCGGGTAACAGGTCGGGTAACAGGCCAGGTAACAGTCGAGTAACAGGTCAGGTAACAGGTTGGGGAACAGGTCGGGTAACAGTCGAGTAACAGGTCAGGTAACAGGTCGGGTAACAGGTCGGGTAACAGGTCGGGTAACAGGTCGGGTAACAGTCGAGTAACAGGTCAGGTAACAGGTCGGGTAACAGGTCGGGTAACAGTCGAGTAACAGGTCAGGTAACAGGTTGGGGAACAGGTCGGGTAACAGTCGAGTAACAGGTCAGGTAACAGGTCGGGTAACAGGTCAGGTAACAGGCAGGTAACAGGCAGGTAACAGGTCAGGTAACAGGCAGGTAACAGGCAGGTAACAGGGCAGGTAACAGGCAGGTAACAGGTCAGGTAACAGGTCAGGTAACAGGTCAGGTAACAGGCAGGTAACAGCCAGGTAACAGCCAGGTAACAGGTCAGGTAACAGGGCAGGTAACAGGTCAGGTAACAGGCAGGTAACAGGGCAGGTAACAGGCAGGTAACAGTTCGGGTGAGGAGGATGAGGAGGATGAGGAGGATGAGGAACACGTGGTGCAGGTTGGTATATCACACAGCACAACGCCACAGATGTTGCAAGTTTTGAGGAAGTGTGCAATTGGCATGCTGACTGCAGGAATGTCCAGCAGAGCTGTTGCCCGTGAACCGAATGTTAATTTCTTTACCATAAGTCGTCTCCAAAGGTGTTTCAGAGAATTTGGCAGTACATCCAACTGGCCTCACAACCACACCAGCCCAGGACCTTCACATCCAGCACCTCCAAGATCGTCTGAGACCAGCCACCTGGCCACATTTTGGAGTGGCCTTTTATTGTGGCCAGCTTAAGGCACACCTGTGCAATCCCCATGCTCTCTGATCAGCATCTTGATATGCCACACCTGTGAGGTGGATGGATTATCTGGGCAAAGGAGAAGTGCTCACTAACACAGATTTTGACAGATTAGTGAATACTATTTGAGAGAAATAGGCCTTTTGTGTACATAGAGAAAGTCTTAAATCTTTGAGTTCAGCTCATGATTCCTTTATAATTTTGTTCAGTGTATTTTGCAGGGATAATGAAGGATGTAGGAGGTACAGGTAAAAGTCATCAGGCGGATATTTCTGGCAGAATCTTTTGTGCACACATAATTCATGATTATTCTATTTTTCTTCTGTATGTTGAGCTGATTTGTTTTATAATGAAGTTTTTATTTGTTTTTTAATATGTTAATGTCAGTAAGTCAGTTAATTTGTTTACGTTTCTATAGTAACAAATTTTGTCATTAAAAAACACGTTGAAAATGGAAGTAAACCCCAACATCAATTCTAACATAAATAAATTAAGTTACTGAGGTCCATTTTTTAAATGATGAATAATAAAGAAAATGAAGGGATAGAAATGCGTTGACTGCAGGTGCTCTGCCCGTGTTGTGTCTGAGAGGCAGACTGATGGACACCGGGGTCTCTTCAGAGGAGCTCAGGACACTCATTTAGAAACGCTGCGTAGAAAACTCACTAAAAGTGTTCCTGCGCCCAAAAGCCAAAATGGCGTAGCCACAAAATATTCAGACGTGCAGACGCACACCTGTAAGCAAGTTCCCTTTATAAATCCCAATCAGCTTGAAATGTGGCCCCTGTGAGGGAGCTCCATGTCCGGCCCTTCAAACGCCCACAGCTGCCTGTAAACGCTCAGTGAAGCTCGTTAATATTAACGCGTCCTGACTGCAGGGAGAAAAGGAGGCAGACTCTGACTCTAACTCAGGGACGCTGACGTTCATTTTGGTGCCCCGGAGGAAAGGGGCCCCGGAGCCCCGCCCCTTTATAACCGACCTGCAGGAAGGGGCCTCCCTCTGAGCAGTGACGTCGCTGGCTGGAGGGGGCCACGCAGACGGGACGACCCAGGTACTGATCTGGATTTCTTTCACACAGCAGCAGGCCTCTTCATCTCAGACCGCTTCATCCTTCTGCCACGTGAGGCGCCGTTTCTCTTCTCTTTATGTGCGGAAGAAGAAGAAGAAGAAGAAGACGTCATCTCTGTGCGCAGGCAGTAGCAGACAGAGGCAGAGAAGATGGCGGACGTGGTGAACGTCGGGGTGAATCTGGACGCTTTCTCTCACGCCATTAATGGCATCCAGGCGCTCCGCTCCAGCGTGAGCCGCGTATTCGAGTCCCTGAAGGACGGCATGAAGAACCGGGAAACCCTAGAAGGCCGAGAGAAGCAGTTTATAGCCGAGTTCCAGGACAATCTGCAGGCAGTCAACAGAGACCTCAAGTGAGTCCGCACACCAGACTCCAGTCAACTTTCAGTCTATTTAAGCCCGTTTATAACGCGCTCCCACCAGACTCCACTCAACTTTCAGTCGATTTAAGCCCGTTTATAACGCGCTCCCACCAGACTCCACTCAACTTTCAGTCGATTTAAGCCCGTTTATAACGCGCTCCCACCAGACTCCACTCAACTTTCAGTCGATTTAAGCCCGTTTATAACGCGCTCCCACCAGACTCCACTCAACTTTCAGTCGATTTAAGCCCGTTTATAACGCGCTCCCACCAGACTCCACTCAACTTTCAGTCGATTTAAGCCCGTTTATAACGCGCTCCCACCAGACTCCACTCAACTTTCAGTCGATTTAAGCCCGTTTATAACGCGCTCCCACCAGACTGGAGACATTTCTGCTCTACTCGATACCTGGCTGTTTCGGTCGGTACCACAAAGGTACCGAGTAGCGATACCTGTCCCTGTTTGGGACCCCCGTAGTCGCTCTGGATTCTGCTCTGACCGCTTCGCTGTTTGCTGTCAGGAGGAGCTCGGAGTTAACTGCTTAGATTAAATCAGTTTTTTACTTTAGTTTTTGGGATTACAGCGTTGATCCAGCTTCACTGGAGCTTCTCAGCAGCTTCCCTGCACATTGACTTCATATTTATAGAAAACATTGCTGGAGAAAAGAAAGCGAGGAAGCTGAACTACCTGGTGAGATCAGAAAACATGTCTGTAACTTTATTCCAGCTGTGGTTGTACTTTACTGTGAGCAGGTTAGCATAGCCCTGATCGAACCAAACTCCATTCAGAAAACAAACGGTTTAACAGCTGCCGTCCTGCTGACAGACCTGACAAAGCATGAATTCAGTTAAACAGATCTGCATCATGTAGATGTTATTTCAGCATCCGTTTGTTGCTCTTTAATCACAGAGTTGCGGTGAGCTGTGTTTATTCGCTTGTGGCGTTGTGTGTGAACACTCAGCAGCTGTCCAGTGAGGAATAAACTGGAGTTTCCAACCCCACTACTGCCGTGGACATTATTATCTGTTTAATACTTAATTACTTTCCAAAACTCCCTGCTGCTGCGATTTATTCACTAGTACTGTAATGTCGTGGAAAAATTCAAGACTTGGGCCAGATAAGAAAGCTTGAACTTTTACCAACATTTTTATTATCAACAAAAACAGACACCAATTAGAATACAAAAGTTCCACCGGAGTGAGTCAGAGATCGCTGCAAAATAGAGTCCCATTCTGTTACCCGAGTCCACAAGAAAACCATGTAACGACTGACTTTCACCTCCTTTTGGACCTGCTTTTATAGCTCTGTTTCTTGGCTTCACATCATCGCTTGGCTCTCTTTCCTGCTGCACCTGGGTCTGGGAAAGTCCCTGACTGCCTGCTCCTCCTCTCTGTGTCTTTTGCCCGCACTCTGCCTGATCATGCCATTTCATCCATAACCTGACTTTTATGGAATAAACTGTCGTTTGTGCTCTGTGCTAGAAACAGGACATTCTCACTGTGATGGACTATATTGATGTATGTTTTGTAATACAAAGCACACGAGCTTGCTGACACACACACATGTGCTACTGCTGAGCCTGGGCAGTTAGATACAGAAAGCAGCACACACACTCAGAGCTGTAGAGTTTTAACACTGTCATCCTAACTTTACACTATAAAATAACACTTTACATGATGACAATGTAGACCACCATCGCTCTAGTAATTAATGATAACAATTTAGGCTATAATGCTCCAAAATAATTCACTAGTACTGTCCACCATAACGATTCTATGTAAATATTGTACACACGGCTTTATATTTTCACTCTGATATTTCTGTACTTCTCTATGTAACTTTCTTTCTCTTCCTTTGCCTTTGTGCAGCTGTGACCCAGAGTCACAGAGTCTGAAGGGACTGTTGGATAATCCGACCTCAGAACAACCAAGAACTTCATATTTCTGCCATTTCATACAGTACTTAGAGCTGGAACACCACATTCTGGGTCTCAACCCAAACCGACCACAGATTTCAGTGTTACACCTCCGTTAATGCGACTATCCTCTTCCCCTCAGCTCACAGTCGTATTGAAGCCCGAACCAATCACAAGATAGTCTGATCTGATTACCCCCCCCCCCCCCCCCCGTCTGTCTCAGTGAGTTGGAGCGTCTCAGTGGTCTGGTGGGTCGGCCCTCAGAGTCTCACCCTCTCCATAACAGCGGCCTTCTCAGTCTGGATCCAGTTCAGGACAAGACCCCGTTATACTCGCAGCTGCTTCAGGCCTACAAGTGGTCCAACAAGGTAAGCATGCTAACAGGACTGCCCTGACACACTGCAGGTGAGTTGACGTGAGCGCTGCGAGGCTCCGTGAATACCTTTTGTATGGTGAGTGTTTGTGTCCAACAGCTGATCAGCTGACTGTGTGACCTCACACTACATCATCATGACGAAGTGTGTCTGTCTGTGTGTAGTTGCAGTACCACGCCGGTTTGGCTTCAAGTTTGTTGAATCAGCAGTCTCTCAAACGATCAGCCAATCAGATGGGAGCTTCAGCCAAGAGACGACCCAAAGTCCAACCCAGTACTCTGGTACTACCTCCTCAGTGAGTACTGCAGTAACATGTACCTGCTATACTGCTATAATACAGCAGGTGTGTGTGTGTGTGTGTGTTTTCCCTTCAGAAATGAGAATCCCCCCGAGGGGAAATCCTTTTGTCACAGCTGCACCCTTATCAAGGCATCAGGAATAATAATAGAAAGTAGGTAGAATACAGAGTGTAAGTTAAAAACGCACGTGCAGTATTTACATGTTAGTGAAGCGTCGTCACGCTGAATAAAGGTAGTTACGTTGGCGAAGCATCGTCACGCTGAATAAAGGTAGTTACGTTAGCGAAGCATCGTCACGCTGAATAAAGGTAGTTACGTTAGCGAAGCATCGTCACGCTGAATAAAGGTAGTTACGTTAGCGAAGCATCGTCACGCTGTATAAAGGTAGTTACGTTGGCGAAGCATCGTCACGCTGAATAAAGGTAGTTACGTTAGCGAAGCATCGTCACGCTGAATAAAGGTAGTTACGTTGGCGAAGCATCGTCACGCTGAATAAAGGTAGTTACGTTGGCGAAGCATCGTCACGCTGAATAAAGGTAGTTACGTTGGCGAAGCATCGTCACGCTGTATAAAGGTAGTTACGTTGGCGAAGCATCGTCACGCTGTATAAAGGTAGTTACGTTGGCGAAGCATCGTCACGCTGAATAAAGGTAGTTACGTTGGCGAAGCGTCGTCACGCTGAATAAAGGTAGTTACGTTAGCGAAGCGTCGTCACGCTGAATAAAGGTAGTTACGTTAGCGAAGCGTCGTCACGCTGAATAAAGGTAGTTACGTTAGCGAAGCGTCGTCACGCTGAATAAAGGTAGTTACGTTAGCGAAGCGTCGTCACGCTGAATAAAGGTAGTTACGTTGGCGAAGCATCGTCACGCTGAATAAAGGTAGTTACGTTAGCGAAGCATCGTCACGCTGAATAAAGGTAGTTACGTTAGCGAAGCATCCCTCTGCACATGTGGTTCTGTCAGTCAAACAAGGTCACCGCAGATCTGCCTGTTCAAAAAGATCCAACCAGATCTTTCAAATCGAGATAACAATAGGTTTTTTAATCGCTGGACATGAAACTGTGATGGAACAGGAAAACCTTATTCAACAGGACACTTTTAATTTCTAACAATGACAACAATCTGACAAAGGAGGCCGCCGCCGTCGGGCCGGTGTGCACAGCTAGAGGGTTAGCCGCTCGACGTGCATACAATCGCTGACTCGGGTTTAGGCACACGCCCCTGTGATGGTAGGAAGCTGCAACCGCCTTTTATACACATACTGCGCTTCCGGTCTAGACGGGCCGACTCATGCGGAGGCGCCGGGGCGTCTTATCTCTTTCTTCAGTGCTGTCACATGAACAGATCAGACGCATGTGAGGGTTTGAGACATGCTGTACGGAGGGGTCGCTGCTCTTTTCCTTCCCGTCTGTTTGGCAGGTGGACTCTAGCGGTGCGGAGTCCAGCAGCAGGAACTCACAGTACTGCACTACTCTGTCCCTCTGTGTGCAGGTACGTGGACGATGTCATCTCTCGGATCGGCAGGATGTTTCCTGATATGACCATCGAGCTGTTCCGACCCAACGGGACGTCGGCGGTGCTGCTGGTAAAGAACGCAGAACATTCAGCATTCAAAGTGTTCGCTGTCAGATGTTTCCTGCACACTGTGCCGGAGAATGAAATGTTAATAAATAAAAAGATAGAGATGAAAAATAAGCCTCAAATATAAAAAGTGTAACTAAAAACCAAATATAAACACTTAGACGAATTAACAGCTGTTAATTCTCCACGTGATGGTACAGGGTTAGCGAGTCCTGAGAGAGAGAGGGTTCAGCTCTGACACTCCTGTGTCCAGCCTCTCGCCGTACTGTGAGATGTGGAGTGAAGGTAAACCCGTGTTGTTTTCCCGGGTGGGAACGTCCACGTGTTGGTAGGATTTAGGGAGGCTGCGCTGGTCGTCGGCATCAGGGTGAGCTGTTTCTAACGTGCTGACTGCGTCGCTGCCGTAGAGTTGGCTCGCGGGGGGAAACGGCGGCCACAAATACAGCAGGAAATTCCCTCTGTAGAAAGTGGGGCAGTAAGAACTCCAGATCCGGCGAACAGTGTTCATAAACAGTCCACCCCTCCCCCTTTGGTCTTACCGGAGGCTGCGGTGCACTCAGGGAGTCTGAAGCGGAATGGCGTTTTCTGGGACGCCATCCGAGAGCCAGGTTTCTGTGAAAATCAGAGCGCAGCACTCTCGCATTTCCCGTTGGACTGTAATCCTGCCTCTGACGGCACGGTGGCTAGCAGGAGGCTGGGTAGTGCTGGTCGGTTAGCTCCCCTCTCTTACGTCGCCGCCTCAGGTGCGCGCTCCTCGGGTCAGCTTGTTCAGTCGAGCCTTCCTGGTGGCGGTAGCGTCGGGAGCGAACAGCGTGTTGTATGAAAGTGACTGTGTTGGCGATGTCCCGCCTTCTGACGTACGTTGGCACTCCAGGGAAAAACACTCAAAATGAAAACCGAAGAAAAGGCCGTGGCAGCAGAGCGAGCAAACGCGCCTGCCTCGAGCGGTGCCGTGGTTTTTTTTTTTTCGTCCAGGTGTGTTCAGACCAGGTGACGGTGTGCTCTCTCTCAGGTGACCCTGGGGAAAGTGCTGAAGGCCATCGTCGTGATGCGTTCACTGTTCATCGACAGAACCGTCGTCCGAGGATTCAACGAGAACGTTTACAGCGAGGACGGAAAGGTGAGAGGTTGAACTCACCTGACAGGTAACCCCTGACAACAGACTCGCTCACTGTCTCTGTAGTAACCCATCTGTCCTCCTTAGCTGGACATCTGGACCAAGTCTCAGTACCAGGTTTTCCAGAAGGTAAGACTCACCTGCCCTCACCTGGGCCTCTTACTGAGCGGCGTTACAGCCCAACACTGAGTCCCCAGAAATCTGCACACCTGATTGGTTGTGTTGTTGCTAGGTAACAGACCACGCCACCACCGCCCTGCTGCACTACCAGCTGCCCCAGATGCCCGACGTGGTGGTCCGATCCTTCATGGTGAGACTGCGATCCATGACCTCTCTACCTGCCTGTCTGTCTCGCTACCTGCCTGTCTCTCTACCTGCCTGTCTCGCCTGTCTCTCTACCTGCCTGTCTGTCTCTCTACCTGCCTGTCTCTCTACCTGCCTGTCTGTCTCGTCTGTCTCTCTACCTGCCTGTCTCTCTACCTGCCTGTCTCGCCTGTCTCTCTACCTGCCTGTCTGTCTCTCTACCTGCCTGTCTCTCTACCTGCCTGTCTGTCTCTCTACCTGCCTGTCTCGTCTGTCTCGCTACCTGTCTGTCTCGCTACCTGCCTGTTTCTCCACCTGCCTGTCTCACCTCTCTATACCTGCCTGTCTCGTCTGTCTCTCTGCCTGTCTCTCTGCCTGCCTGTCTGTCTCTCTACCTGCCTGTCTGTCTCTCTACTTGCTTGTTTCTCCACCTGCCTGTCTCACCTCTCTATGCCTGTCTCGTCTCACCTCTCTATACCTGCCTGTCTCGTCTCACCTCTCTATACCTGCCTGTCTCGTCTCTCTCTGCCTGTCTCTCTGCCTGTCTCTCTGCCTGCCTGTCTGTCTCTCTACCTGTCTGTCTCTCTACCTGCCTGTCTGTCTCTCTACCTGCCTGTCTCGTCTGTCTCGCTACCTGTCTGTCTCGCTACCTGCCTGTCTCTCCACCTGCCTGTCTCACCTCTCTATACCTGCCTGTCTCACCTCTCTATACCTGCCTGTCTCGTCTGTCTCTCTGCCTGTCTCGTCTGTCTCTCTGCCTGTCTCTCTACCTGTCTGTCTCTCTCTACTTGCCTGTCTCTCTACCTGCCTGTCTCACCTGCCTCTATACCTGCCTGTCTCACCTCTCTATACCTGCCTGTCTCGTCTCACCTCTCTATACCTGCCTGTCTCGTCTCACCTCTCTATACCTGCCTGTCTCGTCTGTCTCTCTGCCTCTCTGCCTGTCTCTCGTCTGTCTCTCTGCCTCTCTGCCTGTCTCTCGTCTGTCTCTCTGCCTGTCTCGTCTGTCTCTCTGCCTGTCTCTCGTCTGTCTCTCTGCCTCTCTGCCTGTCTCTCGTCTGTCTCTCTGCCTGTCTCGTCTGTCTCTCTGCCTGTCTCGTCTGTCTCTCTGCCTGTCTCTCTACCTGTCTGTCTCTCTCTACTTGCTTGTTTCTCCACCTGCCTGTCTCACCTCTCTATACCTGCCTGTCTCTCTCATCTGTCTCTGTCTGCCTGTCTGTCTGTCTCTCTACCTGCCTGTCTCACCTGCCTGTCTGTCTCTCTACCTGTCTGTCTCACCTGCCTGTCTGCCTGTCTCTACCTGTCTGTCTCTCTACCTGTCTGTCTCTCTACCTGCCTGTCTCACCTGCCTGTCTCTCTGTAGACCTGGTTGCGGAGCTACATCAAACTCTTCCAGTCTTCCTGTCAGCGCTGTGGACATTACCTGCAGGATGGACTTCCCCCAACGTGGAGGGACTTTAGGACCCTGGAGGCGTTTCACGACACCTGTCGTATGTGAATCTTTCCTGGTTTCGGGTTCTGGACTTGATGTGTTCTGGTTTTCTGTTTGTAAATAGAAGTTTGAATAAAACACACTTTGTTGTACACTTGTGTCTTGTTGTGAAGATGACCTCTAGTTCGTCCAATCGGCAGTGAGATTCAGAAAGACTTTCATCTGAGGCTCGGACCCGGGTACCTGCAGGTCTGGCTTTGCTTCTTAGTCTCATCACCCCGAGGGAATCTACAGCTATCTAACCTGCTTCCTGGGGGTAGGTCCATCGCAGCAGGTCCAGCCTTTGGGTCCCGGGAGGACCTCCTGTGTGTAACGTGAAGTCTGCTTTCAGCTGGCTCGGGGTCAGGGGTCAGGGGTCAGAGGTTGTGGTGTGGCCTCGCTCTAAATGTCATCCAGTACGCTGTGATGACTCGACTTCCTTTGAAGGTCTCACTTTTGACCTTGGCGGCCCCCCTTTCATCATATTCATCCTTTATCTCTCCCAAAACCAGCAGAAGGTTTTCAAGAAAGGTACCAGGCATGCCAGCTGTGTCCAGCCTGTGTCCAGCCTGTGTCCAGCCTGTGTCCAGCCTGTGTCCAGCCTGTGTCCAGCCTGTGTCCAGCTGTGGGAACGGCTGGATCTGACCACAGATGTGGTTTAACTGTTTGTTCTTCCTTCTCTGACAGCTAGGGGCCCCTTTATCTGCCTGTTAATAACGTTCAGGACTGCAGGACTTTGAAGCAAACATTTCATTATTCAGCATTTAATAATCAGTTTCTGATGGAGTGCGTCTCCAGCAGAGTCTGAAGCTCAGAGGTGAGCTAATGACAGGGATCATTACCCTTTATCAATTATTGATCAGCAGCAGTCAGAAGGACACCAGAGACCTTCTTCTCTGCAGTCTGAGAATAAAACTCAGCAGGTAAATTATCATAGAAATGAAATATCACTTTATTATTAGGAGAGTGTGACCTCTGACCTTTGACAGTCAGGTGACCTCCGACGTGATTGGACAGCTGAGTGTTTCATTAAGGACGACCTCAGGACGAGAGAGCTCAAGTTTTAACATTTTCAAACTGTCAGCGTATTAACCTTTCCTGTGAAGTTAGAATACGTCACATCGAAACGTTAACATTTCCTCACGTTAGAGGAACAGCATGAACACAGACAGCAGATACTAGTCAGAGCTGCTGGCGCGTACGCCGTCAGTGGAGGAAGAACACCAGAGAACTGTGAGCAGACAGAAGACGATCACCGATTACTGACAGAACTTCAGTTCTGAACTGAACTGAAGAAGTCCTTTGGATGAGGGACAAAACGTCTTCCAGTATCTTCAACCAAGTCCAGTTGCCCTTGATTTTAACCTTCGTTGGAGAACTATGACCTGGATGACTGAAAATAGAATTAAAATTAAAATAACTTATAACAGTAGCCACAGTAAAACAGTGCAAATGGAGGTAGAAATTTTTTTTTCAATTGTCCTCCCTGCCATGACTAGGAGCTGTTGTACAGTCTGATGGCCAGGGGGACGAAAGAGTTTTTAAGTTTACTGACTTTTTTACTTACAGAACCGATAACTGATCTGATAACTGATAGAACTGATAACTGATCTGATAACTGATAACTGATCTGATAACTGATAGAACCGATAACTGATCTGATAACTGATAGAACCGATAATTGATAGAACTGATAACTGATCTAATAACTGATAGAACGATAACTGATCTGATAACTGATAGAACCGATAACTGATCTGATAACTGATAGAACCGATAATTGATAGAACCGATAACTGATCTGATAACTGATAGAACCGATAATTGATAGAACTGATAACTGATCTGATAACTGATAGAACTTATAATTGATAGAACCGATAACTGATCTGATAACTGATAGAACCGATAACTGATCTGATAACTGATAGAACCGATAACTGATCTGATAACTGATAGAACCGATAACTGAACTGATAACTGATAGAACCGATAATTGATAGAACTGATAACTGATCTGATAACTGATAGAACTTATAATTGATAGAACCGATAACTGATCTGATAACTGATAGAACCGATAACTGATCTGATAACTGATAGAACCGATAATTGATAGAACTGATAACTGATCTAATAACTGATAGAACGATAACTGATCTGATAACTGATAGAACTTATAATTGATAGAACCGATAACTGATCTGATAACTGATAGAACCGATAACTGATCTGATAACTGATAGAACCGATAATTGATAGAACTGATAACTGATCTGATAACTGATAGAACCGATAACTGATCTGATAACTGATAGAACCGATAATTGATAGAACTGATAACTGATCTAATAACTGATAGAACGATAACTGATCTGATAACTGATAGAACTTATAATTGATAGAACCGATAACTGATCTGATAACTGATAGAACCGATAACTGATCTGATAACTGATAGAACCGATAATTGATAGAACTGATAACTGATCTGATAACTGATAGAACTTATAATTGATAGAACCGATAACTGATCTGATAACTGATAGAACCGATAACTGATCTGATAACTGATAGAACCGATAATTGATAGAACTGATAACTGATCTGATAACTGATAGAACTGATAACTGATCTGATAACTGATAGAACTTATAATTGATAGAACTGATAACTGATCTGATAACTGATAGAACCGATAACTGATAGAACTGATAACTGATCTGATAACTGATAGAACCGATAATTGATAGAACTGATAACTGATCTGATAACTGATAGAACCGATAACTGATAGAACTGATAACTGATCTGATAACTGATAGAACCGATAATTGATAGAACTGATAACTGATCTAATAACTGATAAAACCGATAACTGATAGAACTGATAACTGATAGAACCGATAACTGATCTGATAACTGATAGAACCGATAATTGATAGAACTGATAACTGATCTGATAACTGATAGAACCGATAACTGATAGAACCGATAATTGATCTGATAACTGATAGAACCGATAACTGATAGAACCGATAACTGATCTGATAACTGATAGAACCGATAACTGATAGAACTGATAATTGATAGAACCGATAACTGATCTGATAACTGATAGAACCGATAACTGATAGAACTGATAATTGATAGAACCGATAACTGATCTGATAATTGATAGAACCGATAACTGATCTGATAACTGATAGAACTGATAATTGATAGAACCGATAACTGATCCGATAACTGATAGAACCGATAATTGATAGAACTGATAACTGATAGAACCGATAACTGATAGAACCGATAATTGATAGAACTGATAACTGATCTGATAACTGATAGAACTGATAACTGATAGAACCGATAATTGATAGAACTGATAACTGATAGAACCGATAACTGATAGAACTGATAACTGATCTGATAACTGATAGAACCGATAATTGATAGAACTGATAACTGATAGAACCGATAACTGATAGAACCGATAATTGATAGAACTGATAACTGATCTGATAACAGATAGAACCGATAACTGATAGAACCGATAATTGATAGAACTGATAACTGATTGGCTGCAGGGCTTAACGCTCTGGATCAATAAAGGTAAACTTTGGTTTTTAAACCTGTTGGCAGGGTGTTCAGCTCTGAAAGGAGAAATTCTCCACCGTTATGGAGCTCCCCTCCTTACTCTCCTCCCTTCCTCCTCCCCCTCCCCTCCCCTCCATCCTCCTCCTCCCCTCCTTCCCCTCCTCCCCTCCTTTCTCTCCTCAATTCCTCTTCCCCTCCTTCCTCTCCTCCCCTCCTTACTCTCCTCCCTTCCTCCTCCTCCTCCCCTCCCCTCCTCCCTTCCTCCCTTCCTCCTCCCCTCCTCTCCCCTCCATCCTCCTCCTCCCCTCTTTCCCCTCCTCCCCTTCCTCCTCCCCTTCTTCCTCTCCTCCCTTCCTCCTCCTCCCCTCCCCTCCATCCTCCTCCTCCCCTCTTTCCCCTCCTCCCCTCCTTCCTCTTCTCCCTTCCTCCTCCCCTCCTTCCCCTCCTTCCTCTCCTCCCCTCCTTCCTCTCCTCCCTTCCTCCTCCTCCTCCCCTCCTCCCCTCCTTACTCTCCTCCCCTCCTTCCCCTCCTGTCCTACCTGTCCTCCAAGTTCAGGTCCTCAGGTCGCATCAGGAGGTGATTCATGAGTGAGGGGCGCCTCCTGCTGGAGGACTGGCGCCACCACAGTCTGTACTGCATTAGAAGCAGTATTATCATCAGTATTATTTGTAGCCTAGTATTAGTACTAGGAGTATTAGTATTACTACTACAGGAAATATCCATCTGACACAAAGAAGCAGTTATTGTGTTTGACAGCAGGGCGGGGCTGCAACTGAGCATGCTCAGTACGCACGCACACAATCTCAGCATCTCCTGCTGATGACAAAGAGTCCTCGGGGAGACGCACCGCGCATGACCGCGTCCTCCGCTGCAGACACGGGCAGACAGACAGACGGGCGGCCGGTGTGTCTGAGAGGATGCGCGCGGCGGGCAGCAGCGGCAGCTCGCGCTGATTGTCGGATCAGTACCGGGAGGCGGAGCAGCAGCGGAGCGCGAGGAGCAGACCGGACACCATGAGCTGTAACTGGGGCACCGAGCTGTGGGTACGTAAACCTGCTGCACCTGCTGCACCCGGACTCTACTCCCCCAAAACCGGGGAGCGCGCTAACGTGGTCACCGTTTATGCTAAAACCAGCCGGTAACCGGGCGGCCTGTCGGTGTGTGTGTGTGTGTGTGTGTGTGAGAGAGAGAGAGGCCCTCGTGCTTCTGTCCGCTCTTCCATAGCAACACGGTGAGTGACGACAGCGGCTGCGGCTACGTGATGCTGCTACAGCGCGAGACCCAGAGACAGACCCCCCCAACACCTATTCAACAACTAGTAGCCTATTATTACTAATTATAATTATGATGATTAATAATAGTATTAATATCTTCTTGTATTTGGCATTTTGACGAGTGACTGATTTTTATTTCTTTGTCTCTACATTTTTCTCTCTGAGGTTCAGTTCACCTTCAGAAACACTCAGATTTCAGAATTTCTATAGTCAACCAGTGGTTCAGTCAGCCTGTAATAATATCAGTCAGCCTGTAATAATATCAGTCAGCCTGTAATAATATCAGTCAGTCTGTAATAATATCAGTCAGTCTGTAATAATATCAGTCAGTCTTTAGTTCAGTCAGTCTGTAATAATATCAGTCAGCCTGTAATAATATCAGTCAGTCTGTAATAATATCAGTCAGTCTTTAGTTCAGTCAGTCTGTAATAATATCAGTCAGTCTGTAATAATATCAGTCAGCCTGTAATAATATCAGTCAGTCTGTAATAATATCAGTCAGTCTTTAGTTCAGTCAGTCTGTAATAATATCAGTCAGTCTTTAGTTCAGTCAGTCTGTAATAATATCAGTCAGCCTGTAATAATATCAGTCAGTCTGTAATAATATCAGTCAGCCTGTAATAATATCAGTCAGTCTGTAATAATATCAGTCAGTCTGTAATAATATCAGTCAGTCTTTAGTTCAGTCAGTCTGTAATAATATCAGTCAGTCTGTAATAATATCAGTCAGTCTGTAATAATATCAGTCTGTAATAATATCAGTCAGTCTGTAATAATATCAGTCAGTCTGTAATAATATCAGTCAGTCTTTAGTTCAGTCAGTCTGTAATAATATCAGTCAGTCTTTAGTTCAGTCAGTCTGTAATAATATCAGTCAGTCTTTAGTTCAGTCAGTCTGTAATAATATCAGTCAGTCTTTAGTTCAGTCAGTCTGTAATAATATCAGTCAGTCTGTAATAATATCAGTCAGCCTGTAATAATATCAGTCAGTCTGTAATAATATCAGTCAGCCTGTAATAATATCAGTCAGTCTTTAGTTCAGTCAGTCTGTAATAATATCAGTCAGTCTGTAATAATATCAGTCAGCCTGTAATAATATCAGTCAGTCTGTAATAATATCAGCCTGTAATAATATCAGTCAGTCTGTAATAATATCAGTCAGTCTTTAGTTCAGTCAGCCTGTAATAATATCAGCCTGTAATAATATCAGTCAGTCTGTAATAATATCAGTCAGTCTTTAGTTCAGTCAGTCTGTAATAATATCAGTCAGTCTGTAATAATATCAGTCTGTAATAATATCAGTCAGTCTGTAATAATATCAGTCAGTCTTTAGTTCAGTCAGTCTGTAATAATATCAGTCAGTCTGTAATAATATCAGTCAGTCTTTAGTTCAGTCAGTCTGTAATAATATCAGTCAGTCTGTAATAATATCAGTCAGCCTGTAATAATATCAGTCAGTCTGTAATAATATCAGTCAGTCTTTAGTTCAGTCAGTCTGTAATAATATCAGTCAGCCTGTAATAATATCAGTCAGTCTTTAGTTCAGTCAGTCTGTAATAATATCAGTCAGTCTGTAATAATATCAGTCAGTCTTTAGTTCAGTCAGTCTGTAATAATATCAGTCAGTCTTTAGTTCAGTCAGTCTGTAATAATATCAGTCAGCCTGTAATAATATCAGTCAGCCTGTAATAATATCAGTCAGTCTTTAGTTCAGTCAGTCTGTAATAATATCAGTCAGCCTGTAATAATATCAGTCAGCCTGTAATAATATCAGTCAGTCTGTAATAATATCAGTCAGTCTTTAGTTCAGTCAGCCTGTAATAATATCAGTCAGCCTGTAATAATATCAGTCAGTCTGTAATAATATCAGTCAGCCTGTAATAATATCAGTCAGTCTGTAATAATATCAGTCAGCCTGTAATAATATCAGTCAGTCTTTAGTTCAGTCAGTCTGTAATAATATCAGTCAGTCTGTAATAATATCAGTCAGTCTGTAATAATATCAGTCAGCCTGTAATAATATCAGTCAGTCTGTAATAATATCAGTCAGTCTTTAGTTCAGTCAGTCTGTAATAATATCAGTCAGCCTGTAATAATATCAGTCAGTCTGTAATAATATCAGTCAGTCTTTAGTTCAGTCAGTCTGTAATAATATCAGTCAGTCTGTAATAATATCAGTCTGTAATAATATCAGTCAGTCTGTAATAATATCAGTCAGTCTTTAGTTCAGTCAGTCTGTAATAATATCAGTCTGTAATAATATCAGTCAGTCTGTAATAATATCAGTCAGTCTTTAGTTCAGTCAGCCTGTAATAATATCAGTCAGTCTGTAATAATATCAGTCAGTCTTTAGTTCAGTCAGTCTGTAATAATATCAGTCAGTCTGTAATAATATCAGTCAGTCTGTAATAATATCAGTCAGCCTGTAATAATATCAGTCAGTCTTTAGTTCAGTCAGTCTGTAATAATATCAGTCAGTCTGTAATAATATCAGTCAGTCTTTAGTTCAGTCAGCCTGTAATAATATCAGTCAGTCTGTAATAATATCAGTCAGCCTGTAATAATATCAGTCAGTCTGTAATAATATCAGTCAGCCTGTAATAATATCAGTCAGTCTGTAATAATATCAGTCAGTCTTTAGTTCAGTCAGTCTGTAATAATATCAGTCAGTCTTTAATAATATCAGTCAGTCTGTAATAATATCAGTCAGTCTGTAATAATATCAGTCAGTCTTTAGTTCAGTCAGCCTGTAATAATATCAGTCAGTCTGTAATAATATCAGTCAGTCTGTAATAATATCAGTCAGTCTGTAATAATATCAGTCAGTCTGTAATAATATCAGTCAGTCTTTAGTTCAGTCAGTCTGTAATAATATCAGTCAGTCTTTAGTTCAGTCAGCCTGTAATAATATCAGTCAGTCTGTAATAATATCAGTCAGTCTGTAATAATATCAGTCAGTCTTTAGTTCAGTCAGTCTGTAATAATATCAGTCAGTCTGTAATAATATCAGTCAGCCTGTAATAATATCAGTCAGCCTGTAATAATATCAGTCAGTCTGTAATAATATCAGTCAGTCTTTAGTTCAGTCAGTCTGTAATAATATCAGTCAGTCTGTAATAATATCAGTCAGTCTGTAATAATATCAGTCAGTCTTTAGTTCAGTCAGCCTGTAATAATATCAGTCAGTCTGTAATAATATCAGTCAGTCTTTAGTTCAGTCAGTCTGTAATAATATCAGTCAGTCTGATCAGTCTGTAATAATATCAGTCAGTCTTTTCAGTCTGTAATAATATCAGTCAGCCTGTAATAATATCAGTCAGTCTGTAATAATATCAGTCAGCCTATAATAATATCAGTCAGTCTTTAGTTCAGTCAGTCTGTAATAATATCAGTCAGTCTGTAATAATATCAGTCTGTAATAATATCAGTCAGTCTGTAATAATATCAGTCTGTAATAATATCAGTCAGTCTGTAATAATATCAGTCAGTCTTTAGTTCAGTCAGTCTGTAATAATATCAGTCAGTCTTTAGTTCAGTCAGTCTGTAATAATATCAGTCAGCCTGTAATAATATCAGTCTGTAATAATATCAGTCAGTCTTTAGTTCAGTCAGTCTGTAATAATATCAGTCAGCCTGTAATAATATCAGTCAGTCTGTAATAATATCAGTCAGCCTGTAATAATATCAGTCAGCCTGTAATAATATCAGTCTGTAATAATATCAGTCTGTAATAATATCAGTCAGTCTTTAGTTCAGTCAGTCTGTAATAATGTCAGTCAGTCTGTAATAATATCAGTCAGTCTTTAGTTCAGTCAGTCTGTAATAATATCAGTCAGCCTGTAATAATATCAGTCAGCCTGTAATAATATCAGTCAGTCTATAATAATATCAGTCAGTCTTTAGTTCAGTCAGTCTGTAATAATATCAGTCAGTCTGTAATAATATCAGTCAGCCTGTAATAATATCAGTCAGTCTTTAGTTCAGTCAGTCTGTAATAATATCAGTCAGTCTGTAATAATATCAGTCAGCCTGTAATAATATCAGTCAGTCTGTAATAATATCAGTCAGTCTTTAGTTCAGTCAGTCTGTAATAATGTCAGTCAGTCTGTAATAATATCAGTCAGTCTTTAGTTCAGTCAGTCTGTAATAATATCAGTCAGCCTGTAATAATATCAGTCAGCCTGTAATAATATCAGTCAGTCTGTAATAATATCAGTCAGTCTTTAGTTCAGTCAGTCTGTAATAATATCAGTCAGTCTGTAATAATATCAGTCAGTCTGTAATAATATCAGTCAGTCTGTAATAATATCAGTCAGTCTTTAGTTCAGTCAGTCTGTAATAATATCAGTCAGTCTGTAATAATATCAGTCAGCCTGTAATAATATCAGTCAGCCTGTAATAATATCAGTCAGTCTGTAATAATATCAGTCAGTCTTTAGTTCAGTCAGTCTGTAATAATATCAGTCAGTCTGTAATAATATCAGTCAGTCTGTAATAATATCAGTCAGTCTTTAGTTCAGTCAGCCTGTAATAATATCAGTCAGTCTGTAATAATATCAGTCAGTCTTTAGTTCAGTCAGTCTGTAATAATATCAGTCAGTCTGTAATAATATCAGTCTGTAATAATATCAGTCAGTCTTTAGTTCAGTCAGTCTGTAATAATATCAGTCAGCCTGTAATAATATCAGTCAGTCTGTAATAATATCAGTCAGCCTATAATAATATCAGTCAGTCTTTAGTTCAGTCAGTCTGTAATAATATCAGTCAGT